ACAGATAATTTCGTCCGTTGACAAATACATGCGATAAGTACGCTCCTCAAAAACGACATTAAGCACACCTTCTAGTTTATCCTGATCGCACAGCATGTATACTTGTCTGCGAAAACTTTTAACGTGTCTCAAATTGGGACTTTTGCAGCCTAGTGGAATTGTATTTATTTTGCTGACTACTTTGCCATACCGTAAAAGTTGTTCTTGTAGTAGGTAGTCGGGTATAAACGGGGGTACACCAGATAGCACGACTTTCGTTGCGGGTTTTACGAGTGGTTGTACAGTAATAAATGTGTGCTCAATTCCACACCCAGATGCACACACAGATTCAGCAGATTCAAGTGAATTAAAGAAAACAATTACGCTGCCATTAGCACGAGAGGCTGCAACACTTTTTTTTCCGGACCACAAAGCTGTGAGAAAGCCTCAACATATTTTTCAATTTTAACGCCATCCAGTGACATGCATTTGACTCCATGCTTTCGTGTCAGCCCAGCAAAGGGGTTGACACGTGTACTCGTCGTGGAGGCGGCCATCTTGGCAGGCCTCTTGACGAGTAACACAAACAGAGAAAACTAAAACAACTGAAAACAGGGCAGATTTTGCCAAAACAACCAAGAGATGCACCAACCTAAACGGGAAAGTATTTACAAAAATGGTGCAATGAAATAAGGTGTAATAACTGACCTATAAAAGGATGAAAAATCGAATTACCAGGAGAGCGATGTACCAGCGTGTGTATGCTAATTTACATACATACATACATACATACATGATATTGTATTTATTCTCGAGTTATAAAATCTGGTACTATGAAATATTTACATAACTGTTGCATAGTAATGGTAATACATAAGTAAACAAATAATTAATTGTTAACGAATAAGTTGTTTACAACCAGTACAGGTAAGGACAAACTATAATTGATAATGTACAATGCAATTAAAATGAAAAATACAAATAATATACCATATGTACAATGTCTCGAAGCGGGATATGTAAATGATATATAAATGATTTCAAGTATATATAACTTATAATACATAACGTATATAATAACAGAGTAGTAATTAATCAGTTATTTAATTTCGTTTTCAGTTCATTACTGTTCATTTTTATTTAAAATTTTGTCCACGTCTAGTGTAATGTTTTTTGGATTTCTTCATTGGTGCTTTCTGCTCTTTGTTTTCCCCGACTTTTACATGCCTCGATATAATGTTTGTTAAGCTTCGATGTAATTCGTTGAATACGTAATTTATTCTTACTGTTAGTTTCCGTACTTTTGCGTAGACATGTTAGCGATCTAATTAGAAGTTTCAAGTCAGGGCAAAATTCAATTGCGTGTTCAATAATTCGTTTCGAGTTGAAGGAGTCTTCTAGGAAATTCCTTTGTGATTCAGTTGATAATAGCCTTTCATTTTCAATTGTATTTTCATCATTTGTGATGTAGGATACGTTTGATATATCAGAAGACATAGATTCTATGTCATCTCCATCGTCTGAAATATCGGCAGGAACAGTGTTTTTTGTATTAAAAACTTCCGAAACGTTTGATGTACGTTTTGTGTTGTCAGAAAATGCGATGAAGAGCATGAAATGGTACTGGGCAGTGAAAACACGGGTGGCATTCGTACCTTTGCCTTTGTTGCACTCTACTGGTACATCCCTTGTTTAGTGTACGTGTA